GGTGATAAACTACAGCCCTGGCGCGTAGAGCGCTCTAATTTTATACTATCAGTTAGATTTCCATTAATCTTGATTCTGGCCATAGGTGATTGATACAAGGTCCTCACACACTGTACTGCTTTTTCATTTAAACCAAATTTTTTGAGTGCTTTATATAAAAAGTTCCAGCTTACGCTGTCAAAGGCTTTCTCTGCATCGAGACTGACTAAAATAGCTTTAGTTTTTATTATTATGAATATGGTCTATAATGTGAAGTGCCCTCCTAATGTTATCTCGCATTTGACGACCTCTAATAAATCCTGTTTGGTCCTCATCTATAATATTGCCAATAAATTGCTCAAATCGTTTTGCTAAAATCGAGGTATATAATTTATAGTCCACGTTCAAAAGAGATATAGGTCTATAGTCCAAACATGTCTCACTTCCCTTCTTTTTTGGAATAATTGTTATAATCGCTTCTCTCCAAGATGGCGGAAGCACTGCATGTTCCAATGTATAATTAAATGATTTTTCTAATAACGGTAAGAGGTGTCACTAAAAGATTTGTACCACTCCGATGATAATCTGTCACTTCCTGGTGTTTTACCATTTTTTAACCTATTTATTGCTTTTTGTATTTCTAGTCTTGTTATATGGGAAGTGAGAAGTTTATTTTGGATTTCTTCAATTGAGGGCAGATCTAATGTCTCCAAAAAAGCTTCTATTTGTTCACCATCAGCAGAAGGTGGTTGATTATACTATCGTTCATAGTATGTCCTAAACATGTCCTCAATAATTGATGGGTCATATATCATCTGGTTTGGCTCGTCATCCTTTAATTTATAAATGATTCTGTCAGCCTGTTGCTTTTTAAGCTTTTTAGCTAACAATTTTGGTCCTTTAGGTCCCATTTCATGATATGATTGTCTAATAAATTTTGATTTCTTTTCAATTTCATATGTTAATATTTTATCAATGTTGTTTCTTATTTCTTTAATTTTTTGAATCAAGATAGGGTTTTGGGTTAATTTGTGTTGTTTTTCTAGTTCTATTATTTGTGCTCTCTCTTTTTCAAAGGCTTTTACTTTGGATTTTTTTTAAAGGCCACAGTCTTTGATATCAATTTACCTCTTATTACTGCCTTAAGTGCATCCTATAAAATCACAGGGTTTACCTGTCCATTATCATTTTCTTCTATATATGATTAGTCTCTTTAGAATGATTTGTTCAATTAGCTTTGTAGAGATCTAGTAGAGTGCTGTATGAATGGGTAAATCAGGACACAGATTGTAGTGTAAAGCACTTTGAATATCTTGAAATAAGATAGAAAAGCACTATATAAGTACAGTGCATTTACCATTTACCATATATAGGATTTTATATCATTGGTAATCCCAGCTTTGATAATTTTATGGTTCAGCAAACCCACATTTAATCGCCACGTTGTGTTACGTTTTCTAGAAGATAGATTTAGTTTAAATATTAAAGTAGAATGATCAGATATACTTGTTTCTTCTATTTTGCATTCTTTTACCTTATATATGTCAGAGCTATTCATAAAAAAGTTATCAATTCTAGAATAACTTTTATTGGGCGCTGAGTAATGAGTATAATCCTTTGTATTTGTGTATAATTCCCTCCACACGTCAACAAATTCAAATTCTTCAAGTGCCAATTTGAATTGTTTTGTAAATGAGTTTTGGTATTTATTATTATTTGCTGTATCAAATTTTGTATTTGATGCCATATTGAAATCCCCTCCCCAGACCAATATTCCGTCTGTTTCCATAATTATTTTATTAAGAAGACTATTAAGGAATTGTGTGTTACTATTTGGGAGATTATAAACATTGACCAGTGTTACCTTTATATTTTCAAGAGTTCCCTTCACTATCACATACCTCCCCTCTTTATCTGCCAGTTTAAGATTACAATCAAATTTTACTGAATCGTGAATTACATTTAAAATTGTAACTCCTCTATTATTTCCATGTCTGCAGGAGCTGTAAAATATATTTGAGTAGCCAAAACCTCTGAGCTTTTCATATTCCATCTTAGATAGGTATGTTTCCTGTAAATAGATTAACTGCGATTTCTCTTTTCGCATTTTAATTAGAATTTTTTTACGTTTTATAGGATTATTCATACCGTTCACATTCAACGAAAAAAACGTAATATCATCAATCATTATTTAGGTTAGCAATATCACTATGTGATTCAAAAATAAGTACCCCCAAAAATAATTAAATAAACTTTATCAAAAAAACAGATAAACATATAGAAAATAAACTTCCAAAAGTAGAGATGTATAAAGACATCTCTTGAGGTCCCTGTTGGTGGGAGGAGGGCAAAGGACCACACTAAGGTGGGGGCCCTCTCTAGTATTAGAATAAAATCCAATTATACTAGATAAGTCCAACATTTGGTGTACGATGCAACTTTTACTCCATTCAGTATTATGGTTAAAAATATCTATTCATAAGACCTATAATACTGACTTTAGGAACAGAAGGACAATTGTTTTCCAAAAAGGGATTAAGTCAGACTGGTAAAGCCAAACAGATTTTAAGTCAAACAACTTTTTTTTTTTTTTTTTTGGTTATTATTGTTTTAGGCGAACCTCCTCCTGCGATGCGATGATCAGTGTCCCTGTTCCTCACGTCTAAACTCCGTGAGCTTCTCCCTCGTGCGTTGTCCTGCACCAGTGTTGTTGATGCGTTTCCATGTTGACAGCGCCTCCAACCTCTCCTTGGTCGCTTTTAGCTTGTTTTCTTTTGTTGCCCAGGTCAAGTTGAAGCCTCTCTTGATCATGTCCTGCACTGCTTCATCTGCATTCTCGTAGTTCCTCGCTCCAGAGTCCCAGAAAATTTTTATCTTAGTGTACAGTGTCTGAAATCTGACACCTTCCTGTTTCAAAGCTGTCTTAATTGGACCATATGCTTTACGTTTTTCTATGACATCAGCAGCATAGTCATTGTCAAAATAAAGACGTTTACCATCCATTGGACGGTCTGGATGTCAGAGCTCGGTGTGCCTGCTGAGTTTGGAGTTCACTTCCATTTGGTAGTTTGAGCTGCTTCGTTAGCAGATCGGTAATAAAATCAATAACCGATCTACCTTCTTTTCCCTCCGGCACTCCATAGATTCGAAGGTTGTTTCTCCAGCTTTGACTCTTCAAATCCACCAGTTTTTCATTCATTGCTTTTTTTTTTAATAGTATCTCGAGTAGCGTGCCTTTCATTTCCAAACATGTAACATCAAGGTCAGCTATACGAGTCTGCTCCTCTGTGATATTACCCTTCTGATTCAGTAGTTCGCACTTCATTTCCTCTCCGAATCTGGTGAAATCTTCTTTCATTGTGGCCTTTTCAATTCTTAGAGTTCTTCTATGTTGTGTTTCATTTCTTTCTTAAACTCTCTTAGGTCGTTAGAAAACATCTTGATACTCTCCAGTACCTTATGCTGCTGTATGTTACCGTTGGCTCACTACTTGGTAGCATTAGCTTCATCTTCACTGCCGTCTCCCGACTGTTCACTAATGTCCTGTGTTTTAGACGTTTTCTTCGCAGTCATTTGTTTTCGGCATCTTTCCCCTTAATTGATTTAAATTCAAACCTTAATACTAAACTGAGTTAAACCAGAGGAAAATTTTAATTACCGATATGAAGGAGCCTGCTGCTATGTGGCCATCTTGTTGCAACGCTCAGTTTTACTCCTGCTAATGAACTTTTAATGAACTTTTAATGAACTTTAATTCACCGTTAAAAGAGTTCTGAGATGAGTTAAACTCAAAGCAGTCTGCTCCTCAGATAAATAATGTTAAATTATTATTTTTAAATATGAATGTTTCTGTTAACTTATTTTATATATGAATATTTCTGTTCAGTGCACTGAGACAACTTATTTTGTGACTTGGGGCTATATAAATAAACTGAATTGAATTAAATCTGATGAACCAAACCAGATTTTACAAAAACATCTATATTTAAAATTCTATATTTTTCTTCATCATTTGATGTATTTGTACTCAGTGTCTACTTTTATTGTTCAATTTAGATATGTGATTTTGTTTCTTGCATACAGAAAATGTTATTTTAGCTTTGATTTAAAGTGTAATTCTTGTTTTGTGATTTGTACATCTGTGGGTTAGAATAAAGTTAGAACTAAAGGCTGTATCTCTTCTTTAAACATATTTGAGGGAAATATTCCTGAGTGATCCAATAATTTTGTCTTTTTATGATTTTTCAGCTGAGTTAACTTAAATTAACAGATTATTTGATAAAGTCAAAGTGACCCTCCGTCCCGGTCCTCCCGCCTGCCAGGGCTCGGAATCCGGCCTTCATGAGCACGCGATGCAGGGGCTCGGGGTCCGGCCTCGCGTGCTTCAAAGGGTCGGCAGCTCATATGATCCTCCGCGGTGACTCCGCTCGCTCGAATTTTGTCATCGATCATCAAACACAAAAAAACGCCTGGACTTCAGCATTAAACACAGTGTTGTCATTATTGTTTTTAAAATCTTAAAACTAGATCCAGCTGCTGCTCTGAGTTCTGAGAAATTGCAAATGGCGGATCTGTGAAAAGTTTCTGAGAGATCCAGTGACTCTGACCAGTCAGTGACCGACAGCGTTCTGACATCACTTTTAGGTGCCGACTCAGCTCAAACGGTCCCACCAGAGAAGCAGGGATAAAAAAGGTGCCAAATCAGCTAAAAAGTATTAGTGGAATAGGGACCTTTCCGTAGCCAGCTGAGCAGAGATGGGGCTGAGTAATAGTGGTGGGAAAGGGGCATAAATTGCCTGTACGTGTGAGTGAGAGAGTGATTGGATTTGTCTTGTTGTCTCTATGTGTCCCTGTGATGGACTGGAGACCTGTCCAGAGTGAACCCCGCCCCTCGCACAGTGATTGCTGGACATGGGCACCAGTGTACCCCGTGACGCAAAATAGAAGAAGCAGGTAAAAGATAATGGATGGATGGAACAAAAAGCAAAGATAAACAGTGGGTGTCTGAGGTGTGTGTGTACCTCTAATCCTTCTGCGAGGCTGAGAGGGGAGGTGGACAAGGCAGTGGGTGAGGCTGAGGAGGACATGGAGGAAGGGGATGAAGGGGAAGTGACTCCTCTTGGACTGGCCTCCACCAGCTTCTTCAGCTTCAAATCCACAAACTTACTGTTTGGACCTGGAAAGAAAACAAAAATAAAACTAGCTTGTATGGACAATCTAAAACTCTTACAATTCTGAGACCCTCAAGAAGTTACAGATACAAAATCATTCAGACAAATCAACTTGAAATTAGGAACACACACAAACACATACTAGGGAAAGCCACTGATGGACATCATATACAAACACAAGAGCAAGTGGATAAATGTAGGACAAACTGTGTGCCGTTTAGTCCTGTGTGTCCTATAAAGATCAATACTTTACTATCACCATGGTAACAACAGGTCAAGATGGAGCCAAACAAGCGAAAAGAACTCAGATTTGATTTCAAATGACTGTTCTTGCACACTCTTTTGATGTGCTTTTAGAGAATATAAAGTCTACTTTCATTGAAATTCAAAAGTTTTGAGAAAATAAATGAAAGCAGCATGGTGGTGCAACTGTTAGAGCTGCTGTCTCTCAGCGAGCAGGTCCCTGGTTCAAATCCTGGTCTGGGGGCCTTTCTGGGTGGAGTTGGCATGTTCTCTCCGTGCATGCGTGGGTTTTCTCCGGGTACTTCAGTTTCCTCCCACAGACCAATAGCATGCATGTTAGACTGATTGGTAACTCTAAATTGTCCCTAGGTGTGAGTGAGAGTGAATGGTTGTTTGTCTCGTTTGTCTCTATGTGGCCCTGTGATGGACTTATGACCTGTCCAGGGTGTACTCCGCCCCTCGCACAGTGATGGCTGGACATGGGCACCGACGACCCCCGTGATCCAAAAAGGAAGAAGCGGGTAAAAGATAATGGATGGATGGAAAGAAAAAATGATCACTTGTGACCATGTTGTACTTCACCTTTTCTAATTACAACACATGTGTTTACACATTTTCTCTTAACACAACATCCATTTTTATGTTTACATTTCTCAATGAGTCAAACAAAAACTCCTTTAAAAAAACAAAAAACATCTAACTAGTCTTAATTTGTTTGCTTCATCCTTGTTTCTCCGTTTCTGCGAACCTATCCTTGTTTCTGCCTCTGTGTGACTGCCAGCAGCCACATACAGCTCTACTTTCCAGGAACTGGTAACCACAGGTCCCCTGCCAGAACAGACCAGTGCAATGAAGAAGATGAAAGAACAGGAGGGCAACCGTTTCATGTTTCATATCTTTGTGTCACACACACACACACACACACACGCACACACGCACGCACACACACACACACACACACACACACACACACACACATGCTAAGATGCCTGTAGGAAGGTACCAAATTCAGATTCAAACTCTTGAACTTTGTCACAAACAAACAAGGATAAATCTAGCTGCTATTCAGTGTAAATTAAGGACAAATGATCCATTCAACGGTTAATATCAACAGATTAAAGAGCAGCATCAGGAGCTTTTCTTGATCAGCCTGATCAAGAAAGCTCATCAGAGACTCTACTTCCTCAGACGGCTGAGGCGAGCTGGTCTGGGAAGCTCGGTCCCCACCTCCTTCTACAGGTGTGCAGTGGAGAGCATCCTGTGCTCGAGCATCAATGTGTGGCATGGAGGCTGCACAGCTGCAGAAAGAGGGGCTTTGCAGAGAGTGGTGAAGGCTGCACAGAAATCTGTTGGAATCAGCCTCCCCACCATCACAGACATCTACACCTCCAGATGCAGGAAGAGGGCCACCTGCATCATGAAGGACCCCACTCACCCAGCACACACACTTCTTGCCCCACTCCCCTCAGGAAGGAGGGTAAGGAGCATTAAGTGTAGAACCACTAGACTGAGGAACAGCTTCTACCCTGAGGCTGTTAGACTCATGAATCTCTAACTAGAATAATCACTGTGAAAAACCATATCATGTTGCTGCTGATCTGTTTTAATGTTGATGTGTTCATGCGTGCACATCTGCTCACAGACTCATGTTCATGTTTGTGCTGATGTTCAATGTTTTATGTTATGAGTGCTTAGTGTATATTTAGTTGATGTTTTTCTTAGTTCATATCTTAGATGT